ATAATAATAATAAATCTATTATTTAAATCTATTATATAAGATGGGCTTCCCACATCAAACATTAAACATTAAAACTTCAAACATTAAAACTTCCCCAAGCAGGGCTGCCTTCAGATGTCTTCTAAAAGTTAGATAGTTGTTTATTTCCTTGACATCTGAGGGGAGGGTGTTCCACAGGGCTGGCGCCACTGCCGAGAAGGCCTCTGCTGGTCACTAATAACTTCAGTGAGGTTGTGTTCAGTGACATTCATATTTTGATTCAGACCAGGGATGGCAGAGGCTGTGACCGCCCAGGTGTGCCTGGATTCCAGCTCCCATCAGTCTAAGCTAGTGCGCCCAAAGGACAGGGATATTGAGAGTAGTAGTTCCTCATCATTTGGAGGGTCACCAATTGCCCTGCCTTTATTCAGGCCTATGAAGATTTCAGAGTACAGTCAGTGAGGGATGTCCACATTCTTGGCTGCTCCAAATCTACAGCCAGCCCTGATGGGCTAAGAGGTCGGCAATGTGCCTGCACAGTGCTGCCCAACGAAAGAAGTTTGATCCCTTATTATTTCCCTTTCTCACTTCCCTCAAGCTGGCAGACGTGTAGAAGAGCCCTAATGGATCCCAGCAGGCCTGGCATTTATCTTCCCTGCAGCAGCCCTCAGAATGACTTCATTTGAGGCCTATACGACTAGATAAATGGAGCAGAGGATTTAAGACATAGCCCTTTAATGAATTCTATTAAAAACATGCTTTCCGAGTGGAAAGTATGAGAGGGCGATCAGCTCTACATAACAAGCGCCTGGTGCCAACGGAATCACGGCCAAGCGAGCAAGGAAGATGAGGGCTGAATATGCGAGCCTCGTTTGCATATAGGGCATCTCGGAGGGACCATAAGAACTTCCCGGGATGTGAATTATTATCTTAAGCTTCCAAATTGACAAATTCCCGAAGCATAAAGGGCTACAATTGCCTCTCTGTGGCAAAGGGAACGTGACTGACAAACTCTGCAATACCACTGCCAAGGAGTTACTTGAGTTTTGATAGCATTGCTTCTGGTCGCAATTGTGTGAGCGCGAGCTGGGAAAAGAGCAGTAACCCAGTATTATCAGATTGTGAATGGCCTGCAATGTTAAAGGGAGAGGCCCGGGTTTTTCCGTGAATTATGTCATCTTTTATAGCAAGGCTCCCTCGGGAACTGCTAAAGCCGCATGTGTGTATGGGGCAGCGGGGGGGGGGGGGGATGGAGAGACAGAAAGAGATGGTTCTTTTGTGATTTATTGGCAGGTAGTTGGCGGGAGGCTGTTTTATCATCCTTATTTTTATACCCAGCGTCACAGAATGAATCCCCACAGTGAGGCAACGAGAGGCTGAATGCTGTGTTGCTGAAGGGACTTCTTGTGTGATTTGCTGACTCTGAATGGGTATTATTGTCTATGTAAGGGCCAGTCAAATTCACACAACCTTGAATGTAGGCTCCAGTGCCAGCTGCTCAGGAGGAGAGCATGGGCTCCGATATTTTTAATAGTTGTTTATTTTCATTTATTTTCATTGCATTTCTAATATATATATTTAAAATACCACTTAATACCACAGTTTTAAAGTGCTTAGGATTAAATCATGAAATCAAGAGGAAAGTCTCACTTAGGGCACTTTTCAGCTGTCGTTATTTTCAGGTGGGATTCGGTCACATACTAGCAAATGCAGTTTGCACAATTAAAAGCGATTCGGGTGCTCTTGCCCAACAAACTCGCATTCCCAAAAGACTGGGCTTTTTGCAATAAGGAAAGTGATAAGGAGAGCCCCAAACTAATAAGAGCAAACGGTTATTAAAATAGCCAAGGTTGTCTGAACTGCCTGCAAGCAGATCAGGACAAATGCTCAATTCAAAGGTCATCTGGAAGCTCCTTAAAATGCTTGCTGAAATAATAAAGCATCAGATGTTCAACAGGAAGTTTAACTAGCAGGAGCAGTGGTCAGGGATGATGGGAACTGTAGTCCAGAAACAGCTGGAGACCCAAGTTTGGTAAACCCTGTCCTAGCCTAAACCTCCAGTCGTGACACCATATTGGTTCTAACATGGGAAGCTGGAGTCTAGCAACATCTAGAGGCCACAATTTACCCAACCCTGTTGTGCAGTCATGTGGGATGTGTACAAGACTAAAATGATCTGCAGGAAATCTATGACTGGATCTCTTGATGTCTTGTTTTTCTGGAAAAAGCAGCTGTCTCAGTTTGAGTTAGTTCCCTTTGCTTGAGTCTGGCACAGCCCACAGTTGGGGGATTAATGCTCCCCACCGCTGCTGATTCCCCCAAGGCAAATGGCTCTGGCTTCACTGCCTTTGGCCATGGGGTGAGGAAGAACATACAAGCACATCACAAGTTTCAGGGGGGGGGTGGTCTAGTGATGCTAAACTCTGGATTTTCCCCACTGCGGCCGATCACTCCACTGGAGTTTTTATAAGCTTTGCAGATGGCACAGTAGAATATCAGCTTGCATATTTTGTATGGAATGAAGAAGTCAGCATGACCACCTGCAGCCCCATCCTATGCCCCACATGTTTCCTCCAGAGTAAATCCCACTTAATTCAACATAACTTCCTAATCACTGAACACAAGGCTGTGGTCTTAACTCCACTGATAAACCCCCTCCCCCATGAGCTTAATCTACATTACAGCCTACAGTCAGGATTAGGAGAGGGGGGGACTCTAATTACATGACAAACCACTGCTTCTTTGCCTCCACCTAAATTGTGCCATCATGGTGCTTTGGGTAGTTTGATAGTAAAACGAAGTGTTTTATGCTATGAACCGCCCTGAGATATTCAGATGAAGGGTGGTATACAAATTTAATAAATAAATAAAACAATTAAACTGTGACACATCCCCCCCCCAAAAAAACCTACACCACCACTCCATAATTTCAATCTATAGTGAAGTAATTTTGACGATTATTTTTCTCCCTTTAGCAGGACACAATCCATGTGGGGTTTTCTTTTTTTGGAGGGGGGGGTCGCAGCAGCTGAAAAACCAAATCCACACCCTTATTGAGGGTCCAAGGAGGGATCTGGACTCTCCCTATGCTCAGAGGCACTCTCTTCCATTGTCGTCTGGTGGGTCAAACATTGCACGTAAGCCTCGAGCCTGAAGTTTGCCCCTTCCCGGAGCTTGAGCTGACGCCCACCCTACCGCACGTAGACACCCGATTTCCAGAAGAGATCCTACAAACCTAGAGTGCAGCCTCCGTAACTAAAAGCCTCGCGAATAGTTTTTTTACTGCGTCCGATTCGGAAACCAGCATCCTTCCTACAACATCACAAGGGGGAGGTGGGGCGAAGCAGCTGTGTGGGCTAACGTCTAGTCACGCAGAAAGGGAAACGGCAGGGAGTGTCTGATGCCACGAGCGCTAAGAAAGAAGCAGGGGGAGAGGGGAGGATCCCCGCAGGAGGGTGGCTGACTGGCATTGGGGGGGGGGGCGAACGACTGCTTGTGAGTAAATAAGCCATGCGTGATCGATTTTCGACTTTCACTGATGCTTTGATGCTGCCCCTTCCCCAAGCGGATGAAACGCCTGGATTTTGCACCGCGACAGCTTTTGCTACCACGTGCAGCTGGAGCGAAAACAACGCACCCGCGCAACCAAATATATATATAAAATCTAGGATTGTTGCGAACAGTTTGCTGGGGCCTGGGACTGTGCCAAACGACACCTTCGGCTAGAAACCAAACGCTTTTGGTTTCTTCAACACGCTATTGTCCAAACAGGAATAAACATAGCAAGATCCTCGCCCCCCCCCCCCCGCCAATCTGCGAACTGCTCCTTGAAACACCTCCTTCTCTGAGCATTGCCACTTATGGGCGCGGGTGGGTGGAGAGTAGCAGCAGCTCCCCACTCGCTACGCTGGGGAGCCTGGAAAGAAATCGAGGACAGCTCCTTACGACTGCGCGGAATGTACGCCGATCGCCCCCGCCCCGCCCCTACACAGCCTCCTCGCCCTCGCTGCTCCCTAGGCTTTCCCTCTAGGGTGGGAGTGGACCCAAGCAGCCCACCCCACCCGGGCTGGCAGTTCGTAACGGTATTGCTGGCGCTCGGACACTTCAGCGGCTTAGCATCTCTGAGTCTCTACCTGTTCCTTCGCCTCTCCCACTTTCTCTTGGGAAGGGGAAGCGGTGCCACAGAGGAAGGAAACAGACCTTCCGAGGGAGCAGCCCTGGTGGGAGCGGGGTTGCTGCAGGCGCCTCCCATCCTGGGCGTCCCACCTGTCCTCCGCTCGGCTGAGCGCAGGTGAGCGAGGACGCGGGCCAGCTTGCTTCTCTTGCCGGGGGCCACACCCCATATAGAGAGCCGGAGAGGCTGCGGGTGTCCCGCGTCCTTTTCACATCTAGGGGAGATGGAGGACCCTCTGCCTTCTGTTCTTTGCACATCCCCACCCCCAAATCAGAGAAGGAGGCTCCAGGGCCTCGGAGGTGGGAGGGTGTCCTGGCTTATGAGGGGTTGCTCCCTCCCTCCGCTTCTTTCAAGCTTCTGCCGCGGGATCGGAGGGAAGGCGGGGGGGGGCTCTACTTTTTGATGGCTTGATCAAAAGAGCCGCTCGCTTTCCCCTGCTAAGGAAAGAGAACGCCTTAAGCGCGCTTAAAATGGAAAATAAATAAATGCGAGCGAGCAAGCAAGGCTGGGCAGACTCCAGAATTCTTGGATCTACTTCTTCCTTTTTTGCAACCCCGCCCCCCCCAAAAAACACACCAAAAAACCAGAGAACCCAAATAAGAACCAGGCGCAAAAAGGCACAGTGTTAGCATGAAAGAACAAGGGTGTCTCTGAGCATATCCCGAGCCCAGGGATTCCAATAGACCAGAACCGAGCCCGGTGCGTTTGGCGCCCTTCTCTTTCATTCCCGCAGCCCCACTGAACTGAGGAAAGACGTTTCGTCGTTGCTCTCGCTAACTTGCAAATCTACCGGCAGATCCGGCGTGCCTCTGAGCCGAGCTGCCTTGGGCTGTTGCACGCCACCTACTTTCTTCTGGAGATTGCTCCTCCTCCTCTCCATCTCCACCTCCACCTCCTCCTCCTCCTCCTCGGTCCCTTCCTCGATCCGCGCAGAAAAGACCCTTTCCGTGACTCCCTCCCTCGTGCTCTTTTTTTCTTCTTTGTGCGTGCGCGCGCGCAAGGCGTGCGCTAGGACCCGTCGGGCCTCCTGGCGAGGCTCCGTCCGCCCGGGCCAGCTCGGCAGACTCCTCCTTATCTCCAGTGTCAAACTTGACATCAGCCTGCGAGCGGAGCATGGTAACTTCTCCTGCGATCGGAGCACTCACATCAGTGGCATGCTTCAGGGAGATATGCAGCTCGCGCTGCCCTCTGCACCAGCAACATGGATTGTCACGGCGCCCTCCTCCTCCTCCTGCTGCTGCTCCTCGGATCTGCTCTCCGCTGCTGGGCGGATCTGAGCCTCCATCCCACCAACGAAGGTAAGCCGGGCAGGGCGCATCCTCGAGGGAAGCCGGCGGGGAGTGCCTGAACTTCCCTGGATCCCGCGGCTGGAAACCTGGTCCATGGCTCTCCTGGACGTTTACCCCAGGGCAGCAGGTTCACCTTCGGCATTTATTTATTTATTTTCCACAGCCTTTGGGGGGATAGGACCCCCCAATATATTGGAAGCCCCTCTCTGGATAAGGATGCCAGGGCGCACTGCTGGCCACGACGGACGCGCATTGGCGAGGCAAAGTTAGAAGGGGCTGTCGCTGGCGGACGGTGGTTGGGGTGTGTGAGATGGTGACACCCACCTCCCCGGGAGTGACAGTGACCTGGCGCTAGGGTGAGACTGCAGGTGGAGGCAGGATCCTTGCATCTAGCGGCAGCTGTCAGGAGACTGGCGGCTTGATTGTCTGTCACAAAGTGGCGATGGTCCTACTTTGGGTCCGGCTTATGATGAGCAGGGCGTGTGAGCCGGATTATTAGCATAAAAGGGATGCCAGGAAAAGTCGGACGGGGAAGCCCCTTGCGCTTGCCTGCCTTCACACCTTGTGGGGAGGGGATGCTTTTTTTGCATTGTTCTAACTGTTTTGTGGCTAAGACAAAAGAGAAAGAAAAGAAGTGCATCTGGAAATGTACAATAGATCTATAAAGGACGTTTGTGAAGCCGTGTTGAATTTGCCTTGGCGTCTTATTTGATTCAGTAGCTGCCTTGATGGTTCCATGTGTATCAACTGATGGAAGCAAGTTAAACAGTGCAATCTTGTGTTGTGTCTACTTGGAAGTAAGCTCCCTTGAGTTTAATGGGACTTACTCCAAGGCAAAAGTGTCCCTAGGATTTGCAGTTTTAGGGGCTCATTAACATACCTTATTGTGGCACACAATTGTGGGGGCGGGAATTGATGGTGGCCCACTTCCTTAAAATAAATATTTGTTATTAAAACATACCTCCATTTTAAAGCCATAGGTTAATTGCATTTGTTTGCATCACAAACTTTAGTTATAATAAATTTCTAGCACTCCTGAAAGTCACCCGTGTTTCATAAGTAGCACCATGTACAACTATTTCTGCATAAATTAAATCTATTAATGACTAAGTTGTTGAGTCAGAAACCAAGACAATCAAATACTTCACATTTGGGAGGGGGGAATAGTGCTGATTGGGTTTTCACCCCTCTTGGAACAATTGAAGGTGTTTCTTTAAAAGGCACACCCAGTAAAGTCAGACCACTGTGAACAGTCAACCTTTGCTTCAAAAGTCTTCAAGCATATTTACTTCTATTTAAAATTAAAAAGTCCAAAGGAGGGGAATAACTTCTAGTATGAAATAATTGTGTTCAATCTTGCACCTGCCTGGTTGATTCTATTTACTGAGCAATTTTCAATCATTTTGTTTAGCAAGCAAGAATATTTAATTCACTGAACAAATAATACTGCTGGTATTTTTGGATTTGGAAAGGGGGAAGCAGTCATACTGAGTTTCGTTTTTTTACTGGCTATGGGAAATAGATTTAGAAGATGTAGCTGATTTTTACATCAAAGAAACAAAATGGTTCAATATAGCCTGTTCTAAATAAAAAATAAATCACCTCCTTCACAAATGCATAGTCATTACTGGCTTGGGGTTTTTTTTTTTTAATAGTTGGTACATCATAGAATAGCAGAATAATTAGTAGAACATGTGTTACTGATAAGAAAGCGGTGGTATTAATCTTGTTGTTATACTCCTTTTTTGGCTAATAAAGCATGAGTATCAATGGAGGCCAGTTTGGAGTGGTGTGCAGCTCTCAGCAGTTGAACTCATTGATAATGTGCACAGTCCTGTTGTTATGCAGTCAATAGAGCAGTGAAGCTGCTAGCGCATTGGCTGGCAAAGTACACTGTGTATTAAGACAGTGCAGCTGAGGCACCAAGAGCTGTTATTTGAATGCTCATGTCTTACAATGTTGTGTGTTAACTTCTATACATTTACGTATTTGGAAGCCTATGCTGTCCATAGAAGATGCTGTTTAAACACTTCACCCAAAGTGGTGCTTATTTTATTTATTTTTATTTTTAAAAAATCCTACAAACTTATTGCTGTATTATAATCAGGCTCACAAGCCCTGCTCATCACAAGCCGGACCCAAATAGTTGCTTATAAGCTTTAATTTTTATTGTAAATCGCTTACTGGCTTCAGCTAACCAACTTTGAAGTAACATCGTTTTAGATTGATCAACAATTTTATTGTAATTGTAACTTTGTAACAGAAACTTGAACTGGAAAGGAAAAACTGGAAGAAGAAATAATAATGAATTGTGTTGCTGTTTGAACGTACAAAGTTTCCCCGAGCATTTCTAAAAACAAAATTGCTTTTAAAGAATGAACTTTTAAAGGCTACTTCTGTAAGTCTGAAATATTGTTTCATTTAAGAATTCAGTGTTTCAGAAAGTGTTCATTTCAGAGTGTATACATCTGTCACACTTGAAAGGGGTGGTTTAAAAACCACACTGAAGTTGCATTCCTGTGCCCACTTTCTTGGGAGTAAATGCCATTGAACATAGTGAAGCTTACTTTTGAGCACTGTACAGGATTGCCCTGTTAATGACTAAGTTAACCCATCATATCCCTTCACCCACTGAAACCACATTGCAGAATCTTCAGGGGAAAAAATGAAATGTATTCAATGAAGTTGTCTAAATTGTCAGAAGCAGTCCAAAGAGACTCTTGGAGTTTCTGATACGTTTTACTCCCAGCTTATATAGCACAGAGAAAAGTTTTTTTTTTGTTTTCTTTTAATGTGCTGGATAAAACATACTATGAATTGAGAAGCCTATTTCACCTCATAGAAAATAACAAAGACATTTCTATAGCAGCAGGGATTTTGGTATGTTTTTTTGGCTTGCGTTTAGACTTTTAAAGTAATACTTTCAATTATTTATTTTTTTGGCCCATTTTAAATGCTTCAATATTATACACAGAAAGAAGTTATTTGCCATTTTATATACAGCATAAAAGGGCTAATGTAGGTTGCATCTATAGCTTTGTGCTCACTCGGACTTACTGTATGCAACGGGTCCCAGGCACTTGATATGTCCTCACTGAAATGCCAATTAAGTAGAAAGGTGATGAAACAGGTAATTTTTTTCTAAGCAAATTTCTTCAATAAATAAACCATAGAGTTGGTTATAGAGTTGTATGTGTGTGTTTCTGGAGTGATGCACACCTTTAAGAAATCTCAGTTGGATATAAAAATATAATATATAATATATATATATATATATATATATATATATATATATATATATATTTAATAGAAGAGTTGTAAAGCGTGAGCCATCTATTCAGTAACAGGAAAATGTCAGGAGGAATTAGCATCTGAATAATGAATGGATTTTGCTCCATGCTGAGATTTAAATAGATTTTTTTAATATGCCCTGAAATCTCAGCCTGAAAGTGTGCTCTTAGAATTTTCATAAGGCACCACTTTATCTGTTTGAGGTGGAGATTTTAATTTTAATTTTTAACAAAGACTCCACTTTCTTGTTGAACTTCTTCTGGAACTATTCTTGTAGAATCGAGAACCTACGGAGTGATATAATTCTGCAATTTAATAGTTTTTTTTCTAATCCATTTCTGTAATGATACTATTTGCCCTAGGGTACCAGCAGCCTTAATTTAACTATTTTATAACCCACAACAGTTAACACTTGACCTAGGTCATTAACAGGATTATCAGCAAATTTGTTTAAGCTTTTACTGACAACCTGAATTGCTTCAATAATATTTTGACTGTGCAGACAGGAAACTTCTTTTAACCTCTCAAATCTCACATAAAGAATTTCTTATGAACACAACTACCCCAAAGACACCAAGATTGTACATCTGTTCATGGTTACCAATAGGCTCCATTTTGGTAAACAGCTAGAACTATTTCAGACTCTCTGTTTACAGTGTGTTGAGTTTTTCCTTAAATGCCTTCGTCATTTCTTCTTGCCGTATCAGAACATTTGTTCAGTGGTTAAACTACAACTTTTTCCCATAAACATTATCTTGGTGTTTATAAATAAGAATGTAGTTTTTAGTGATGTCAGCAGCTGCGGCATTTTCAAGTAGATCACTCATAGAAATACTGGTCTGCCTATCTAACTTCTCCACATCTAAACCCAGAGGGTGATGGAAGACATCATTCCCTGGTTTAAAGGGAGCCTTAATAAGTTACGTTAAGTTCAGAATTCGTGTTTGAAGTTCTGTTTTTTATATGTTCCAATAATATATTTTTTTAAAAAATGAAACAAACCAAATTGTCATGGCAAAGGGATTTTAACAGAACACTAACTTTATTTTAGAATGAAACAGTTTTCAATAAATGCAATATATTTATTTAAGACACAGTCCTCTTGGAAGTTTTTCTGCACAAGCCTCATGAAAGTGAATGGGAGCAACACGAGTGTGCATTAATGATTTTACATGCTTGTTAGTGTTCAGATCAGTGTCCATTCATTCCAAGGGGACTTTTCACAAGGGATTTTTCCAGTACATTGCTTGCCTCACACTTCTATCTCACAAGATGCTTCAGGCTTGGAGCTGGGTAAAATATAAT